CTGTTTAAATCATAAGACCAGTCACTATACAGAGATGTGCTTCTGAATGTGGACGATGTGTCTTCTGCTGCAGTGATGCAGTTCTGCTTGTGTTGAGTGATGTAAACAACTGATCGATCTAAACTCTTTAAACGTCAAAATTGATCATTAGATTTTTTATGACACAACAGTAGTGAGTGTTCCCACCTTCTGCTCTTTGTAACTTAACGCGATCTTTCCGTTTTCGAGTTTTGGACATGATTTTGGAGTATATCTTCGCAGTAGCGATTGACCGCAAAGTAAAGCTACCAGAACTGTACAACCCTACATCCGGTCTCAAACCAGGAAGTTAACATTTTCTCGTGCACAGGGCCAATATCCGGTTGTTCAGTGATGACGTGACGAATCCTACTTCCAGGTCTAAAGTAGTCTGCGTTTAATATGGCTTTTGTGTTGTTAACATGTTTAATGTTATGTATTTTCTTCTATTTGATCTCAAAAAGCTCCTAAAACAGTCAGTGATCACTGTTGACCTCCCTCGGCTTTTATTACCGCTAATCATTTATTTAAGCTCAGTTTTTAAAACCTTAGGATGTAGCTACAGCCCAGCCCATGCAGCAGTATATGAATGACTAACCTCGTATTGTGGATGGATTATCTCAGTTGTTCTCCTGGCTGAAGTTTGGTCCTTTTACAGCATCCTGCCATGCGATTACATTTGTTCCTGACCACCGAGAACACTCACGTTAACTTTTATCGAGTTGTCATAAATGAGTCTCCAATAACACCAGAAAAAGTCGCCAGATTTGTCGCTAGTCGCTTTTTAGAAAAAAAGTCGCTATGGGGGTCTGAAAACTCGCTAAATATAGCAACAAAGTCGCTAAGTTGGCAACACTACCTCGCCCTATAGGTCCTAAACAAGTAGATCAAATCACCGGTTAGACACACATACAGAAATTCTTTGATTTACTAGTGAGGGATTATTAGGCTAATGGATAGGCTAATTTATGGATAGCTCTCTAATAATAAATTCAGTATTCCAGATAAAAGGATGAGGAGTGGGAATGAATTCTGTTATTTTGAGGTAACTAGTTAAACATTATTGCTATAAATGCTGTGCATACTTTTTAAACTGTTTGATCTGTATTTTCACTCAAGGAAGAAACAAACTACTTCCACATAACTCAAAGGATCGATGATTTTTTAGTGGACTGTAGCATACTCAGGCAGTTTGGCAGTGGACCCACTACGGAAGTTGAACCCCATTTCTTCTCAAGCTGTGATCAAATGAAAGCATTTGCTTGTTGACAAGCTAATTAGCACAGAGTATGACTGCCACTCCAGGATCCTGCTAGTAGCTGCATGTAGTCTTAAAGAGATTGGATGGTCTTGGCTGGGTTCACTTCCTCTTTGATGGGTTGTGTTTGAGCCTTGCCAAAGCAGGTAATGATACTACACTGGCAGTCACAGAGCACACTGCTGAGCGTGTTCCCCTCAGGTCTCCGCATTGCCAAAAATAAAAATTCAAGACATGTAAAGGTCTTTAGTGAGGTAAAACTCTATTTTTTGATGTATACATGCTTACATTTAGCTTGGAGGCTTAAAAAGTACAAACGTGTCAGGCAAGGATCACACCTGGATGATTTAATGTTCCAAATATACAGACAGGGAGAAAATTCAAACGCAAGTTTAGGCTCATACCCTTGAGGCATTCATTATGACACGGAACTATGCGTAAGTACATAGTTATTCACTTGACTTTCGCTGACCTGCTATTATATTTCAGTAAAAATAAGTTGCATTTGACCTTTTTTTTCTGCATTGTGTGTGATATTTAACAAACTTTCAAAGGTTAAAGTAGCAGTGGCCTTATCTACCAGTGCCTCATTGTGGTCAGGCCTGTGTTTTAGTTTTGTCTTCTGAGCAGCAGAGACTTGGCAGGGTACTTTCTTCAGAGGAAGGAGGTCACAAGTCTGCTCACAGTGTCAAGAGTATGTGCTGTGTGGTTTGGAATAAGAGATCGCGTGGTGCTTATTGAATGTGCCTTACAATGTGGCATTGCAAGATAATTGGACCAGGCTGCTGATCAGCAGAAAGTCAGGCTCAGAGGTAGTCTTCCACTTCCTCAGTCGATTAAAGACATGGAACATATAGGAAGCAAAGAGACATACTGGGTGATGCATTTGATAGTCTAACACAATAAATGTAAGGTAAACCTGTAAGGAAAGAGCTAAATGATGGTGGTAATAAAAAAAAATATATAACAAACAATGACAGAGGGAGACGATGTGTGTCTTACTTGCCCTGTCGGGCAAACGAGCCAGACGATAGAGAGCATTCCTGGTTATTTTCCAGAGATAAAATTGCAGTACAGAGGAGTGGAAAGACTTAAAACACAGCACTGCAGGGAGATGAGCTCACTCATTTTCCCCTTGTAGGCCTCTGGCTCAACTTCATATGCTCTCACAAGTACACACACACACACACACACACAGATATAAACTGAATCATGACGCAGATTTACAAGCTCTGCACAGCAATAAACGCAGACAATTCGGATTAAATAACGTTTGGCATCCTGTATGTGCATGTGCGTAAAGAAGTGTGAAAGATAAATAATGACTATTATGATCATATCCATTGTTCAGTGCTTGAACGCAATCTAGTATCCCACTGCTTTCTTAACTCCCCCTTGCAGAACACAGTTAAACAATCAGGGCTCGAACTACAAACTAGGCCAGCAGTCACATTCTGAATGACCCCTTGAAACTTCAAGTTCACTGGATGCACAAACAGGCTCGATTTTATAAGGTGATCAGCAATGGATACTCCCTTATGTGGTGCTTTAATGATGGTACAGTGTATAACACATCTGTTTAAAATCCTCCTTATGTGTCCAGTATCTGTTGAATGTGCAAAGCATACAGTTCACATTCACATTTATGTGCTAAAAATTAGTTTGCATCACAGGATTAAGGGGACCACTCAGAATATCTCAGCACTGATTTTAAGGACCTACAGTAAACCAGCAAAATAATCCCAACACAGTAAAAATCACAAAGAAGGGAAACGAGATAAAGGCAGCAACTAAAAACACGGTACGTAGGCACGGCACAAGCAAGAAAGCACAATGCAGGTACAGACAGAGGGAGCTACAACCATCCATACATAACTCATGTGCTTCAGACTGGATACTGTCAATACTTTATGATGAAGAATGTCAGCATTTTGACTTTAACTATGTGGACTAGACAGCTGGTTAGACTCTAGTACTCCAGCTTGACTCTTCAACACTAGTTTTACTTAAATCTGCTTTCCTGCTGCAATGTCAGGAAATTACCAGCAAGCAGTGATTTGGACGACACGGAGGAATTGTGTGTGTGCGTATGTGACGCTTGCTGGGATTAAGTATTATTGCTGCACTTGAAAAAGCACTTTCTTTCAACCACTGGAAGGAAGGACTCAGGGGAACTGCGAGCTGACTCAGTCTCATCTAAAATGCTCCGACTAGGGCCTCCCAAGGGGGTCCCACTCCTCCACAAAGTTCCCTTCAGAGCTCAGCCAACTATGGAGGATTGCTCGGCCCCCCAAGTGATATCGCAGATCCGGCCCCGAGAAAATACTAGCAGTGCGATAAGGGAGCAAGGCAGTTGAAAGCAAAAGAAAGAAAGAAAGAAAGAAAGAAAGAAAGAAAGAAAGAAAGAAAGAAAGAAAGAAAGAAAGGAGAAAATACATTTCTTCACTCTTGCTTGTTTTCTGGGGTTTCTGTGTCCTTCTCGCACACTTTATAATCATGGTAACACATGCACGTTCTCCCCGACACCGACAAACAGTCAAGCTAGCGTTTCATCATGCATGCAGACATGTTTCTTCTATACAACTACACAACCTCAAATGACTGACGGATCATAAAGAGGAACAAAACCGCACATGGTAAACACACACGCCTCTTTGCCACAGCCTGACCACACAGCTACCAAAAGCCACCAGCCTTGCACACGCAGGGTGTAATTACGCTCTTTTCTTTGTTGCCTTGGGGCCTTCATACTTACAGGGCACATACCCACACAGACAGACACGTGTCAGAGGATACACATCCTGTTTAGAACTTTTGCTTTAGGCAATAAAGGCACATCTTTGCAACTTTACTGTCATTTTAACATTTAAACATATTCCTTTTTGTGACCTTTAATATTCAGTAGCATTTTGTTCACAGCTTGTACAACAGGAAAACTTAATAAATAAGAAAGATACAAAAAGAGCTCCACAAAGGATATGCACTTGATTTTCTTTTTGTACAGTCAGTACCCATTTGGAAAAATAAACTCTCCAGTGCACTCGTTTACTGTTTTGCTTAGAGCTCAATGGGACATTCTGTCCATGCAAGCTGAGCCTAAAGCTAGTATCTTGTTAGTTTAATTTATCTTTGCAAAAGCAGCAAGCTTACTTACTAGCTTAATATTTATTTACGTAACAGGTAAGCTTTTATCTAACCACTTTTATTTAAGCAAACCGTGAATCATTACCCAACAATATCTCATCATCCCTGATGATTAGAGCCTGACTGATGTATCGGCAGGTCGATATTATCTGCCGATATTAGCTATTAGCAAACCTGTTAGCATCAATGAAAAATCGACTGAAAATTATGAAAATAATTTAATTAATATGCAGACTAAATTATAATCATAAAAGCTCATTTGAAAAGTAACGAAGAGACAGGAGAAACATCATTAGAGTCAAGCACAATAGGCAGAAATCATTACAAAAAGGGTTTAGGTTAGCATAAATAAGACAGCAGTTTGTTTCTTAGATTTACAGTGTCCATGCTTTTTTATGCACAGCCACAAGAGGGCGCACTCCTGTTTTAGATATTTTTCTTAGTATTATTATTGTTTTGGGGGTTTTTTTTAAATCAGATTATTCCTTTTGTTAAACAAAACATTGTTCAAAAATTTACATTTCATTACCTATGCAAATAAATAACTAGGGTTTACATCTTTTGGAAAGGCTTGACTCACCTTGTTCGGACACCAGAGGGTCACACGATCCAAAGCTGATGGCCAGCAGAGCCAGAGAGGAGCAGAAAAGCCACATGGTTTCACTCCTCCAAAAAACACCACCTCACCTCACTCCAGCCACCAGCTGATGGATAAACACAGAGAAAAAGGGAAAGTCAAAAAAGTCAAATCCCTCCTTCATTCTGTCAACATGCCACCCAGTTTGCTTACTCTGCCGACAGCTGTGCATTATGCTTGACTCCTAAATAGACGTTGATGTATATTTATGAGTCAGTCACAGTTGATGTGTTAATTATGTAGTATGATGCGGGCTTTGTTAGTGGCATATGATATATGTGTGTGTATATGTGTGATATGTGTGTATATATATATATATACACACACACACACATATATATACATATACACATATATATATACACATATATACACATATATATATACACATATATACACACATATATATATATATATATATATATATATATATATAGCCACATTTGACCATGAGCACATGCGCACATTAAGCACATTATTGACGCAAACAAAGCAGCAAATGCAAGACAACAAAGCAGAAGATGGACATGAAAGCAAAATGATTTACATGCAGGACGGTTGGTCTAGAGTCAAACAGACAGAGGGGCCAAAACACACAAACACATCTGGAGACTATTCCACTGGAGCCATTGTTCTGCTGTACCAGATGCTTCCACGTGGCCAAACAACAGGCACACAGACACACACACAAAGGCATGCATAGATTAAAATGCACGCCACGTAGAAATAATCATTATATCTTGGCTGCGCAGTCTCTCTCCCTTACTACAGTAGCTCATTTATAAACGCACACAAGAATGTACGTGCATAAACATGCTAATCCCGCCCACTTGCATATAACCCGGGTAAACACATCCCAGCTGACCTGGACTTGCCCTCGGCATGTGCTAGGACCCCATAATTCTGTAGTGTTTACAGGTTCAGCAGGGCCCTCAAGGCAGGCAGGCAAGCAGACTGTATCTCTGAACACACACCTGTGCTGTCTGCCAGGAGAAATGACCCCCACACTCCCCTGGGGCTACACAATGTGGCGTGTGAATACTATCCAGCTTGACCTGACTTCTGTAGCAAGCTGTTAAAAGACAATATGGTGGAGGACGGTGCTTCAAATTATGTTCTGGAGAAACAGAGACAGCCTGACCTGCCCCAGACTTTCATTTGAAGTATGCAGTCCACTTTGGGAGCCGTTGACTTAAGTAGTGTGGCTCAGTTCAAATACTCCACTTCGTATATTTTCATGTACCATAATATGTACACAATGTGCTGGTATGCACAGTTTACTGCGAAGAAATTTTGACAGGTTAGCTACATTAAACACTGTAAACTTGGAACTAAGAATACGAACACTGTCAACTATAGCCAACAGGGGTGTTGCCAGGCCTGTGGTGCTTTTTCTTTATTTCATATTAACTAGTGAGTCAAACAAAATTCTGCTGCAGATACTAATTTTGGTGACCGTTAGGTGATGCACAGGTAATGTAAGCTGAACAAAACATGCAAAACAAACAGGGAACCTAACATTGTTTTGGGAATAACGAATACGAAAATCCCAAAGATTTTCATTTGTAAGAAATGCTTTTAAAAAACATATATATGTTAAAAATTGCTAACTATTGTTGAGAATACATACGCTACAATCAGTGTAGTAAGAAAAAGACGATGTTTGAAATATTAGACTTCGACATCATGCTAGCTGCTCCATTTTCGTAACTATCGTAACCTACGTTATATTAAATTTGGTCCCACATAATACTACATTTTTCAGCAGGGACGATGGCACTATTAGGCACATAAATACCAAACAATATCATAATAAATTAACATAATGTATTTCCTATAATTCTTTTTTTAAACTGCTGCTGCTGTTAGCTTGCTAAGCTAGCACTGACGTCATCATTAATAGTGATATCATATGATGGTTTTGTTGACTAAAAATAGTTTAGTAGTCAAGACGGTAAGAGTGAACACAATTTGCTCTTAACTTTTTGGCCCATTCTGCGTACACCATCGTGCTCCTGGAGCAATTCATTTAGCCATGATGATAGGAACACTATTATGCATGAAATATTACAAATTCAAGTACCCTGAGACAGCACAGGCGTGGTTGCTTTTTCTTCCATATTTTTTATTTTAGGTTACCGGTTTATTTAAGAACCAAGGTCTTTGCAAGATCCTGTACAATTATGCTAAGCCACAAATGATCTGTCGGCACTACTGTTGCCAGTATGAGTACTGTTAAGGTGAAACTATCTAGTTAGCTAAACGACAAGAAGAATACGTTAAAAAACTTTTCTCCTGCAGCCGGATGGGTGGGAAGTTAATCAAAGCCTTAGACAGCTATGTTTGAGCAGTCTGAAGCTACAGCCATTATTATAGGCTTCATGCCACATGATCACAATAATAAGAAAGTTCACACAGTACATAATGCATAATGCATCACAGTCCACAGAACACAAGCTGGGGGAAAAGTTACAGCTCATTGCTATTATTATCTGGCCATAATCCAAAACAGTTTAATAGGTTTCCTGATATAAGTTGCTATGGATGTGTCTCTTTCCATTTCTGTCTCTGCACTGCATTCATAGCTTGCAATAACAGATACAGTAAAGCCAGGATGGGGTTATGCCACTGGGCTTGCCGCAGGCCCGGCCATGACTCGGTGAGCAGGCCTGTGAGTGATTGGGTCACTGGCTATGGATAAGACACAGGAAGGAAAACAGGAGCAGATGTCTTACTGTTATAGCTCTAAAAGCCGAAAGACAAGGAGTGACAGACAGAAGTAATGACCAGCATCCACAATCACAGCCCAGCCCAGTAGTACCAGTACTTTTTATGGATTTGAATACACATACAGAATGAGCCACTGACACAGTCTCACATAATAACCGAGGCTCTTGTGCTCAGGGCTTAGCAATTTTCACTGTCCTGCATTTCATCACAATTGCCACTGTTTACAGATGGAACAACATCTCTAGCACAAGCCTGTTTAGAGGAACACATTCTGACAGAGTTAAATGAAACATGTCCACTTTATGGCCTGACAAGAGAATTGCTTTTATTGCTTATTAGCCACCCAGACATGGATGATTAAATAACAGTGATCCAACAGCCCACTGTTTAGAATAGTTTGCATCTGTTTAGATTGAAGAACCCGGTGTAAATGTGTCTGTCATTCACTATCTGAGGGTTCATTGCTTTTCCAGCTGTCTCTCACAGCATCCAGAAGCAAGAAGACTGATAGGGGCAGTTTACAATCTAGTCTGCTTCCAATCTACTCTAGGCTATCACACAAGAAAACATCCAAGAGTGGTATTGCTGCTGAGTTGTGAAAGCAACTTCCTGATTGGCCGCCAGTTTGTCACCCTGGCTCAAAATCCTCAAGGGAAGTTCTCTCTGAGAAGAGGCTGTACATGGAATTCAGCCATCAAACAGAAGCCCTGCCTTATCGGTCAGGTAGCCCGCCTGTGTGCATTCGTGTAAAGTACAACATGTGTTCTACAGAAGGCGAAAGGGGCTGCCATACAGAGTGGACAGACATACTGAATAGGAAGTCAACAGAGGCTCATTTATGCAGATGAGCACACACACAGTGACTCAAGCCATTTAACACCATGCTCCAGAAGCTACCGTTCAACAACACAATCACAAACTCAATTTCTGTTTACGAGGTGCTTCAAAATCAGCTCTGCTAATTGTTAGTGTGAGTAAGGTTGGTCAATTCTTATTGTGAGAAAACTAAAATAATTGTTGGGCTGCTGTGAGCCCTGCATTCCTCCAGAGAATGCATGGCTGAAAAAAACTAGAGTCTACTTGCCTAGAGCGTCTATAGCAGTTCTGCATAGCTGTAATACAGATGTTATGCTAAAATGCTGATTTAAATATTGATGCTTACTACATTCAATATCTTCATTTAGCGTGTACCAGTGAGATTTAGAACTAAACACAAATGCATGCAAGTAGAAATACACAACAGGAAAACTTTAACTTGGACCCTATGATGGTCATTTATGGTCAGATGGATCAGAGGGTTCGCAGTTTACAATAAGTTACTTCTGAGGGGAACATGAGTGTGTAGATCAGACCAGTCATGGATCAGTCATGGAAATCCATCTGGTGGTTTTTGAGACTCCAAACCACAAATCTGAACCTTATGCTGAAGCAAAAGGGGAAAAAGGCAAAGTCATCAAAGTCTGGGATTCACCCTCTAAGTAAGGTTTACATTTCTCTCAATGTTTCTGACCTGAATGCAGTTCTAAGTACACTCATAGGTTCAAACAATACTAGTTACACTACTGCTGGATGTCGACGTCGGTCAACATGCTGTTTCCCAAAATGCATTTTGCTTTGAAGACATGAACGTGCACACTCTGTATCTGAAAGTTTTGACCTTTTCACAAACTTGTTTTAACTTTAAATAAAAGTAGCTGAAGTGGGCCCCGAGGGCTTAACACTCCAAATATCAACTGACTCCGAGCAAAAACCTTCAAACTAGTGAAGGTAATATCCAAACCTGTGTAACACTGAAAAGAGACTGAGGCAAGTTTTTACTAGTCTTACATTCTGGGCAGTGTTCAAGGGCTTTATTTGAATATTTGCTAGTGTGAATCAGACCAGGAAAGGAACTGAGCACTAAATACATAAAACTCTTTCCTGTGATTGCTCAGGGCTACCTGGAAGTTCCAATGCCACGGACACCTACGGCCCTTTTGCAAACGCAACAAAGCAAAGTTAGTCCTAATCTGATGACATGACCCGGTTGGCTCCTAGCCTATGTTGTGGATGAAGTCAGCCTGGAGAGAGCAGATGACTTGCCGATTTTCTTCAGCTTGACTTTACATTTCCGCCTAATGTTCACTTCACAGCTGAACTGAATGAGCAAGGAGTCAAGGAGATGATACAATTTCCTGTAGGCCCAACAAAAGCTGGTATGGAAGATATACGTGGGAGAACATACCGCCCTGTGGCCTACAGCTATGCATTGCACAGACAGCCTCCAGCAGGTTAAGTGAGCAACACTTAATGGGCATAGATTTGTAACGTTTGTAACAGGGCTATGAGGAGACTACTGGTGGTAGGAGAGTTCTGTTACATACCAGGGTTTCCAAGCTTACATGTGCAAGTTTCTTTTAGTTAAAATGACCCTTAAATGAAACCAGAATCCTACTTGGACAACGTGGAAGTGTGGAAAATGTTCCACATTTTGAAGGAGGAGGGTGAAAACAAAAAAAGAGTAGGAGGATTTATTTTTTAATGTGAGTCGTGGGGTGCAGACAGGATGCAAAATCCAGCAAACATGGGGGATAGCTGAGTAATTAGGAAAGCAGATGTTACTGCGGTATTCAAGCCCCCACTCCTCTGGCGTTCATTTTCTTTCCCAAGAAGTGAAAATAAGTTTTAGAGACCGATCCGAGATCATTCCAAAGCTGATTACTTTTTTCGAATGATATGCATGTAGTGGGGAAAAAACCCCAGTGTACTTAGGAGGCTTTTCCATGCCACAGGGGGTTGGATGCCATCCAAACAAAACAGCAACACCTCAGCCGTTCTGTGCCCATGCCTGGCTTATTAGATGTGAAGGAAAAATCAGCATCACTTTTGCCAGGAGCTAGTCGTTTTCTTGCAAAATCCAATAACGGAATACTAGCTTACTACAACTACACGAGTCAGAGCGGCCGAGAACATACAACTTTAATGATCTCCGCTGAGAGAAAGCAACTTTAGAGTACTTTTGCTCAGTATCCCAGATTGTTGGTGTGTGGTACACCCCGCAGTATGGTATCCCCATGTGACGTTGCCCACTGTAAGCAGTCTTTGCTGCTACAACACTTCCATCACTAAAGTTCCGCTGCACTTCACTAACTTGTCTTTAAATCTCCGGCGGATGTGGCAAAAAAAAAAAAAGCATCGCTTTTTAAACGAAAAGTTAAAACGACAGAGAGCATGTAAAATCCTTACCTTCAATTTCTGATAAATCCACAAGTTTGCGACCACATTAATCCGCTGTTGTGCGTGTATAGATCCAAGGTCCGGCTTGGGAATCCTGCAGGGCGATGCAAATGCAGACAAATGTAATCCAGCCTAGTTTTTGTCCCCTTGCCTTTTTTTTTCTTGAGTCTTCTTCCACAGAGAAAGGAAAGAGGGAAAAAAAGTTACAGCAAGATTAGCCGTGTCCAACTTTTTCCCCCTCCCCTCTCTGCTGATCCCAAGTGTCTTTCTCCCTCTCTCGCCTCCTCTTTGCTCTCTCTGTTGTCTGTCTCTCGGTTTCTTATTACTTTTTTCCTCCCCTTGGTCTCTGTCTATTCCTCCAGCCTGTCTCTCTTCCAGTCTCCCTCCAACACCCCCCCTTTACCTCTCCTCTCCTCTCCTCTTTCTCCCTGCTCTCTCCCTCTCTCTTTGGGAGATCTCTCTCAAACATGTGGTGACATCAACTTGTCCACAAGGCTGGAAAATAAGCCCTGGGCATCTCTCTAATCTTTTTGGCAAGCTGTTCCAGGCCTCTCTACCCTCTCTTTACCCTCTACCCCATCATCTTACCTCCATCTCCCCCTCACCTCTTACTATTTGATTCATGACATACCAGAAAAACAGACTTTCTATTCTGCCTGGGTTAAAGCACTGTATTAGGAAAAGAAATGCAGATTAGGCTCTCCTGGTTGGTGCATTATGGAGAGGAATTTACTCCATTAAAATTAATGAACTTACTTATCATACTTACTTATGATTGAAGGCCACATCCACAGCTTCCATATTGTTTTATCACTCACTTTTATTGCATCCAATCCATAAAGTGGCCTCGGTTGGAGCCCCTGACCATCCAGAAACACCAGTCCTAACAGCCACATAAATTCCACCTTTATTGTCAATAAGTAAATAGTTCAGGAGGCAGATAAATATCACTTTGTCTTTTGATTTATGCGTACCTCCCTTCAGATGGTATGGAAGAATAGGTAGAGGACTGTGCTCACATCTACAAGATATTTATTTCTGTCCTCTGTTGAGAGGTCAACATCTCTACTGAGTAGTTATCTTTAACTCTCTCATTAGCTTTTACCCCTAGTTTAAAAAAACACAATAAAGGAAAATGTGAAAACTCTCTAAGTAGCATCCGTCCACTCAAATTGTTTCACTTCTGTCTAATGAAGCTGAAAATGCTTTGAACTAGATGCTTACCCAGAGGTGTCCTCTTTGAACTAAAAACACTGGTGGAAAGCAAGGTAATTCAGCCACTACCAATGGGGAATCTGGACAAATGCGTGCATATGTCTTTGTATGGTTTGACGGCATAAGCAAAGAAAGAAAGGAATTGAAAAGGTGTGGCTTCCCCTATTTCACAGAGCATGTTGACAAATGATGTGTTGAAGTTTGGCTCTGACCAGACAATAAAAGTTAATCTGATGAATCTCCCTATCCTGACATATTACCCAACCTCCAGGGATGAGTCAAAATGTTAATGATGTATTGCTCATCCAGTTCAATCCATCACAGTTCATGACTTATTGCAATGTGTGAAGTGCAGGAACAAAGTAAAAGGCTTTCTTGTCATTGCCTGGCTGTGTTTCACAGTCTAAGTAGAATTTAAATCTACAAATAAGTCAAAGAGGCTCCCCAAATGTGTCATGTCCAGGACCAAAAGTGTTCAAGTTCAGCAGTATTATGATCACATGGTCAGTCGTAACCATGACCATTAAAAGCATGAAAATATGTTGACACATCAGCATGATGCTAATATAATGGTGATAGAATGGCCCCAACCAACCATACCTTGGTGATCTGCAAATCAACCAACAGGACTACTGCCAACAGGCAACAAGTGGTTACAACATATGGCAAAGATATATTTCAAGCTATCTTATAACTTGGTGTTTCGTGAAGTCCGTTCTTTATCATATTGCACATGCAAGTTTTGGTGAAATTTGTAAGTACTATGCATGAAGGTTATACTGTGAAAATGTGAAAAAGTCCCCTTCAAATCATTTTTGTTGAAGATCATAAGGTGATTGTATACATTTATTTGTAACTCTTGCTGTAATCTGACCATTTCTGTAGATGCAGTAGTGATTCTTGTGAAATGTGATTAGATGGACAGTAGGATGGAAACACAATGGGCACCTCACAGTGGCTAGAGTTCACTGGTGTTTTGGCTGGTATGCTAAAAAAAGTCAGTGTTGAAAGCTGCAGTTCCTCAGAGTTCCACGGCAACAAAAGCAAGTCAGTTCCCATAAAATGTTTTGTTAAAATTCCCCAAATCACAGCAGAAACAGACACGTTTAGAGCTTGGTACTACAATAGGAGCTTACAATCAATTTCCCCTTGTTACGTTCCATCTAGGGGGCCAAGACATGAAAAGGAATTCATTTTCAACTTGCAAAAAAAGAATAAATGTTACAGAAAATTAAATCATTAGTGGTCATTACACCCACTTTCCCAAGATTAAAACATCCTCCCGATAATGGTTAATTCAAGAGTGAAGAAACACTGATGGGTTAAAGTCAATAGAAACGAAGAGATGATAAAATAGACCTAAAGGACACTTCATCTCCTTTTCAATACAGCGCTATAAATTAGCTACTGCTTGAACTTTAGAGAAGCAGAATGGGATTATCTAAGCCCAGAAGCACTTGAAGTTTGAAAGGCAAGTGGAATTGGGTTCAAGTAGAACTATGGCGCGACACAGTGCTTTTCTTCTTCATCTTTGTTTTTGCATAGTTGTATCACATGTTGCTGACTCGTTTTATCACTGATTCTTTGGTTACACTTGGTGATGATGGACACTGGATAGGAAAACTCCAAAGCAGCCATGGATGATTTCTACATTTAAATATTTGTCACTCATGTCTCACATCATCAAAAAATGTAATATTAGTGAAAGATAACCGAAGTTAAAACAAAATGCAGTTTTTAAATGATGATTTGATTTAGTATGGGAACAAAGCCCTCCAAACCTACCTGGCCCTGTGTGAATTAACTATGATTTAACAGGTTTTGGAAAGCTGAGCTCAATTTCACTAACCACACCGAGGCCTGATTAATGCCAAACCTGTTAAATCAAAAAATCACTGAAACAGTGTTGCATCTTCCTATGAGTGTCAAGCCAAAATTACTCCAAGAGTGCATTGATGACTCATGCAGGAGGTCACCAAAAAAAATAAATCCAGGGCAGCATTTAAAGACTGCAGGCCTCATTTGCCTCAGTTAAAGTCAGAGTTCATGAGACTGGGAAAAATTGACATCCATGGTAAAGTTCCAAGGAGAAAACCGCTGCTGACCAAAAAGAACACAAAGCCTTGTCCCAAAAAACATCTTAATAATCTTTTTGGAAAAATTTTTTTACTGATAAGACAAAAGCATCTGGCACATAACTAGCACAGCGTTTCATAAAAGTACAACAATAGTCATAAATGGTGGTGCTAGTGTGATGACCTGGAGCCGTTTTATTGCTTCAAGAACTGAACAACTTGCTGTGATTGATGGAACCATGAATTCTGCTCTCTGTGAGAAAATCCTGAAGGAAAATGACAGGCCATCAGTTCGTGACCTGCAGCTCGAGCAAACTTAGATTATGAAGCAGGACGGGCTGAGCCCCTGAGTCTCAACACCAGCAAGTTTCTCTGAATGGCTCAAAAGAATAGAATGTTTTTGGAGTGGTCAAAGTCAAAATGCTTTGGCATGACCTTAAACAGGCCGTTCATGTACAAAAGCTCTCCAGTGTGGTTGAATTAAAATAATTCTGCAAAGGTGAATTGGTCTAAATTCCTCCACAGCAATGGGTCTTTGAAAGACTCATTGACAGTTATCGACAATGTTCCCTCTAATTTTTCATGTGTCTGAGCAAACACACAAACTCCCTGAGTGGTCCCTTGGACCACTGCGAGCAACATTAGACATGTGCACTGTGGTCACGCCAGCATCGAATCCATCCAAGTTACATGGTTTATTAAAATAATCAAATTACAGCATTTATGTTAGACTACTTTTAATTAACTGCTTTAGCCCATTTACAATGAAAATTTAGAAAAATCTTGTTCATGACCTGTGTAGTATGTTAACACTATTGGAAGTAAAAATAATTTGAACTCCAATTTTGAAAACACAACTTTCTTTCTTTTTTTTCCTTTATATAAAGCTCTGACTTGTATTATGAGTATGAGTCTGGGAGAGAGTCCTGTAACTCTGTCTGCAAAATACAGAATATAATGGCCACTGTTGGGCAATTAATTATGTAGTTACTTCTTCAAAAAAGTAACTGAGTTTTGCTAACATTAAAGATTCTTGCAGCTATTTACCTAAAAACGCAGCCAAGGCGTTTTTTTAAATAAACATTTCAAACTATTTACAGAACAATCAGCTGTTCTGCATCAAATTTGATGCCACACAAATTATTTGTGCCACTCCAAAAAATTATTTCTGTCCACTATAAGATAAAGGAGAACAACAGCCTGATACCTGCAGGCATAGCTGGACCGGCCATCGGGCATACCGGGCATTTGCCTGGTGGGCCGTGGGCAATTTTTTGTTTTCATGGGCCAATGGACTTTTTTTTTTTTTTTTTTTTTTAGTTAGGGTATATATAATGAAAGGTGTTGGATTGGCCGATTGGCCATGATCGACTCTGGGCTGGACCAATTACAGCCGAGGAGGCCGAATGCACCCTCCCCCTTGTTTAGCAATCACGTGATTTTCGCGCATTGCATGCCGGGAACTCGTGGCAAAACAATCCAAGTACCGCATCAAATGCAAGAATTTGCAGCACCGCAAAACGTTCATTCTCTGGTTCCAATACCTTCTTGTTTTTTCTTTGCCGCACAAAAAAGGAATGTACAAAACAAAAGGAGAACAATGCTGGTCCGTACAAAGACAGACTCGACGAAAAGACAAAGAAAAGATACGAGGAAAAATCAGAGTGAAAGGGTTAGACCCTTATGAGCACACAGAGTGGACAAAAGACGTCAGCGTGCTGCCCAACTTTCACCACGCTCAGATTTATAATTATACGGTTCTTGGAGTGAGTGCATACACTCATGAAGTTTAGTAACTTCAGGTCACTGCAACAAGCCCAGGTACAGTTTACCGACGGATGGGTACAGGACCTTGAAATGCACCGTGTAGAACGAAAGACCATCGTACGAACAAAGGTAAGTTTACCAGTCTCACAAATCGTCGTCATAGATACACATTCGTTAACAGTTTATTAATATAACCTTTGAGCTCAACGGTAATTAAGCATCACAGAAATGTAGCAGTGACAATAATAT